TCTGACCATTGGGAGATCTTTCAGTTGGCTCCTGTGTCCCTTTGACATACCACCATCATACTGTGTGTGTGTATGTTGTGCGTGTTTTAGCACTTCCTTACTTTCTGGAACTACAAGATGCTCCAAGCTCATCTTGTATATTCCCTGCCCCAACCTGAGAGTCAGTTATGTCTCCAAAGAGCCCAGGTGCCACAACACTTTTAAGTCTGACATCACCTGAAACTGAATAGCCAACGTCCATTTTCTTCTGTTTAGTTCTGAAAGTCCAGAAATGATTAAAAATTTATCATTGTTATTTTCCATGAATAATTATCACATAATTATATATTAGCCCAGATAATAATAATATAATAATAATAATAATATTCCAGATGTGGAATAATGACTCCACATCTCATTAACAGCATTTGAGAGGTGAAATAATCCATTTATCTTCTACTCAGAAAAACTTACTCCCCCTACTCCATTATTTCAACTGAGGTGAGCTCATCGTCAGGGAAATCCAACATTCTTTAGCACACTGTCTATCTGACAATCTCTTGAGATCATTTTTCTCTGCCTGATTTCTCCGATGTGAGAGACATTAAATATGTCTCCATATTCACTTTATCTGTATTATTTTATTTTCTTATCATGCCTTTCAACTACCCATTTCCTTGAGTTTTTCTCTTTCACAGCCACTGTCCTATAGTTATTCAATAAAAACCAGAAATGCCAACAGCTTCTTTTTCTGTTTTCCTGCTTTAGGAAAGAGCTTTTTGCACACTTCACTGGACTTTACTTAGGAGAAAGAGGCATCCTGAAAATAAATACTCTTTACTTTATGATTTACCTGTGTTCTTTTCTTCAGCTGGCTCAAACAGAAAAATGTTTTCACATTTCTTTATTTGCTTGAGGCTTTTGGAGATATTTCTTTGTTTGCTGCACTTCAACTTGTAAAAAGCCACTACTTACACTGCGCAGTTTGTTTAAGTAGTGATGAAGGGCTCTTCATTTATGAGACCAATTCCTCTTGTGTCTCATTAAAAAAAGTCCAGTCAGGCACGAATCAAAAACACTGGAAATAACAAATGTTGGAGGGGCTGTGGGGAGATGGGAACTCTTATGCACTACTGGTGGGAATGCAAAATGAT